CACCCTTGATGTACCCAGTATATATGAAATTAATTGCAAAGACTAACCATAAATAGGACAAAAAGGTAGAATTTTAATCACTAAAGTAACTGAACACAAGAGATCTGTTCAATGTGCACAATAGCTGTTCAGCATGTTAAGAATCCTACCCACTATATTAACTGGGAAGCTGCTTCTATTATATATAAAAAATTTGTGTGTGTACAGCAAATTCTTAAATCAGATATGACTGCATCACGGCCTAATTTCAACACCTCACAAAGTCAGGAGGAACCTGAGGCTATAACTACCCTTGCTCTGAAATTACTGGTTCTCGTACTTGACTTAGGACATGTCTTTGTAGGTAAGTTTTTTGTTTAAATTACCAATACTCAACTTATCTTGTTCTACTGTGTCAATGTGGATTCATTTGTGCCATACTGTTTACAGCATACTGGGCACCTTATTCAGAGGCTATCTGCATACAATAAACATTCATCATTATTATGTTTTGCACTTTCATAAGGATGTGCAGAGAAAATGTTGTTAGAAAAGTGAAACTAGAGCCTCTTTACATACTACCATATGACACAATGGCTTGTACAGTACTTGTATTTGGCATAATGAATATTCAGGCATGTGAGAAAAATCTTTGTGAAAAAGAGATAGACGAACTTAGGTTGAAATTGAGCTCAATACGACCATACTGAATTGAGGCAACACATGATGGCATTTCTTGATGGTCTCCAATCCAGGAAGAAATTTTGATTTTATAATCTAATGATAGGTCTAAGTACTGTATACTACCAATGACAAGGCAATGTAGTGGTCTCTCTTCTCTTAAAAAGCATATGTGATTTGCACATTCACCCAGGAAAAGCACTGAAAAATAATTTCAGTGTCTAATTCCAGAAAAATGTTCTTAAAATAGAGAAATTTTCAGAGCTTTCTAAAAATTATTAAAGGGAACTCCAGGTGTACTAATATTTCTTTTGAGGATGCTGTAAAAAAAAAGTATTTTACAATTAAACTACACATATATGAAGATAAGTATCTACACCTATAACTTCATACTGTCTTAACTAGAACAGAAAAAGCCCAGCAAGACATTAGGTAAAAGGACACAAGTGCAACTAATGCAACATTTTATTGTGGCAACATTGCTCTCCAGGAGCTTTGTCAAGCCGTTACAGACTGGAGAGTGAAACACTGTCACAATAAAATGTTACATTAATTGCACTTGCAACCTTATACCTAACATATTGTCAGTAATTCTACCAACATTATTACAGCAAGATATTAATGCAAGCCAATTCACTTATAACCTTCAGCATGTCATAATTAGTATTTTAAGACACAGAACTTCTACAATATTCAATATTAATTTTTACAACTGCATATCTTATAAAATAAATATGAGGCTCATAAAAATGTTAATCTAATATATGATACATGAAACAAAATAGTTACTCAATGTGCAAAGATTGAGGAAAATTTTCTCTAGCCAAGGAGGAACTATTAAGGAATCACAAAATAAATACACACTGTCTAAATCATCTATTTTGGTAACTATAATTATAGTTATAAAACAACTTTTATTTTAGATATAGGTTAAAGATAAGATCATGTTAAAATCACGTAATTTTAGAATTTTCAAAAGATTAAATTTTCCACACATGATGGACACTAAGTATTTTGAGAAGTGTGTCATGTCAATGAACAAAGCCACCTTTCTCTCTTCGTTTTCTACTAATAAAACAAATTATTATCCTTTGTTAGAGTTGCATTGTACCATTGCACTGATATTATTTATTTGAAATCTCACAGCTATCAACAATAACTCTTCTTACTTATCTATTTAATTACTGTTCACAATTTCCTCAAGAGCCTAGAGAAATATTAGCCATAGTATATAATATCACTCTAGCAAAATATATATACTACATGTATATAAAATTGCCAAAGATTAAGTCAGCAGTGCATGCATTTTCTTGATGGACATGCTGTGAGCTGCTGAAGTGCTGGACTGCTTCCATTTGTCTCTCCTCTCTACAAATGGATGCCCAAACAATATGGCCAAATTAATTACAACATAGAGAAGATTATAGGAGAAAAACTCATTATCGGGTGTATGACACTCACAGAAAATGCATTGTGTGTACTCTATATTCAAATGCATACTTTAGTGTTGCCAAAAGGGTGCACAATTTTTATTAGAAATATTTTCTAAACTTAGTCAATTTTCAGAGTTTTTGGTCTGAATCCTGATGCCCCAAAAGTAATTTTCCCCATTATAAACCTATGTAATGCAAATTCTTTTGTAAATAAACTATATAAGTGCTGTACGAATATCAGCAAGATGGAGATATAACTGTGTTGATCAGTACAGTCATTATACATATTATACATGATTAATCTACTATACTGTAAATATATACAAAAATTATGAAGATCTACACTAATTACCGGTATACTATACTTTACCAATAATAATCTATTACACTAATTTCAAAAATAAAGATTATAATTATCTATGTACAGTACCATATATAATAAGCAAGATGATTGCCACATTTGCTAAGCTCATCAACCAGGTACAATATTAAAAAATGTATTCGAGTTGTGCCTGCACAGTTGAAATGCAGCTTCTGACACTGCTGCCTAACCTTCAATTAACTGGCACAACTGGATGCTGGTCTCTTGAACTTTCGAGTCTACTTTTGAATCAAAACCCAACTAATTCTGCTTGGTAATCACCCATGTACCAAAGAGCTGCCTCCTAATGCCCTTGGCTAATCTGGATACTGTATTCAGCTCCCATCTATGTCCTCTTGTTCTGAGCCCTCCCATGTTGAACAGTTTGCAAGCTTTTTATGATTATTGAGAAATGTCAAATTAATTTAAAGAAGCATTTTGATCATATTTTGCAAGGAAATAGCTGCACTGTAAAAATTTTTTTAAACATGCCCACACCATCTTCCACTGAGGTGGGAGATAACCCAGCTAAACTTAAAAAGACAGCACAGAGTCTCGGATGACAATGTGTATTGTATTTGTGTGTGTGAGTGCATGCATGAGTCTGTGCATGACTGTGTGAAAGTGTGTATACAAGTTATGAGAGTAACCCTCACAATAGTGAGGTACAGTGTTAATTTTACTATTTTGAGGTAGAAGTGTAATACTGATGTTTTAAAAGTATTGGAAACCTTTTCACCAATACTGATACCATAAAAACACTGATGCCTACAGATATTGATACTTTGGCAAACCTCTAACAACCCCTCTGTTGCTGTCTACCAGTCTTCTATGCTTAGAGCATCAATTCTAAAAATAACTTTTAAATCTATTTTAGGATAGTGACAAAAAACTAACACCTCTATAAAATAGGAAATTTCATTTTATGAACATGCTGAATATGGGTGTCAGCATGAAAATTATTTTTTTTTTTTTAACACATCAGCCATTTCCCACCAAGGCAGGGTGACCTGACAAAGAAGAAACACTTTCATCATCACTCACTCCATCACTGCCTTTCCAGAGGCATACTGATACTACAGTTCAAAAATGTGTCATCCAGAAACAAGGGGAGGAAAACTGGTTCCAGAGCACATACACTACAACTCTCACTCAACTGATGAAAATAGTTAAGTTTAGTATTGTTCAGTGAGCAAACTAAACTAAAAAAATGAATGAACTAAGGCCTGGCTTTCCATTTACCCCCATGCACCATACCCAGGTATACAATCCACTTATTCTTCTATCAACTATCTCCAGTAATTTTTTTTTTTTTTTTACATTTAGTAACTTATACAGGAGAAGTGGTTAGTAGCCCATTGCTCCTGGCATTTTATTTGCCTCTTATGACATACATGGCTTACGGAGGAAAGATTCTTCTTCACTTCCCCACAGAGAGTAACTCTCTTTGTGTGCTTCACTTCCAATAATTACCCTTATTCTCCTCATTTGATCCAATTCTCAATGACCTTCATTCAAAGGTAAGGGAATTTTAAGTAGACCCATATCATTAAGAAGGAACTTAAGTTCCTTAAAGAAATTCATGATCAGTTGGGTTGTGGTGCCTATGTAGGAGTAGAAACTCTCAGAACTCATCAAAGGTATATCAAAGATGGGGCTTCGTGAGGAAAACCTCAAAATCCTGATTAATCAGGCCATTAGCAGGGATGATCCTTGCAATCATCAGTAGGTAATCTACAGGTATGTTATACACCTACACTCCACACCAGTTTAACTCTTCCATAGTCTGTCCCACCACCCTACTGCAAACTTGTTAGTCACTTTCTTCAAGGCTTCTTTATTGCAGCTATCATTCAAAATTTTTCATTATTTATCACTATTCCCTTTATTCCAACACTTCCATTTAGACTTAAAATTGATCTGCAGAGCAGAATATAGTCTTATCACTTTATAAACACCACCACTTGTATTTAAAATCACATCTTTCATGTGAAGAAAAAGATACATTTGCAGAACAAGCTTTTATCAAAACAACATTTCAGTCTTTCAAGATAGAAATATTGTTCCAACAAACTTATTCAGCAAACATCTTTTCTGCACAATAATGTGAAGTACACCATAAGAGTCCATATATTTCTTCTCAACCAGACCCCTCAGATTGCATTATTTTATGTATTTTAATCAATATTGCTATTATTAATGCTACTTATTATCGTTACATTAAAAACAGCAATGACTCACTAAATCGTAGTAACATGATTGTGCACAAACCATGGAACAGGCGAGACCTGAACCCATGGCAACTCTTAGGACTCGTTCACCGTGGGTACAAACCCCACCAGTTCTGTGGTTTGCTTTATAAAAAGAGCAATTTTTTTGATAACTTAATAATTAGTATAACAATAACAATACAGGTATTTACAAATTAATAAAAAATAATCCAAATTTCAATAACCTATGTGTCAGCCTGATGCAAAGAATGAAGAGCTGGGAATTACTGAACACTTGCTGTTACAAACATACAGGAAAACCAGCACACTACTCACAGTTTGGGCATAGCAGTAGTATCCACAGGGCGTGGAGCAGCCGGACGTGGAGGCGAGCTTCCTGAAGTTGATGCTAACTTCATCATGATTCGTGGAACACTGGCGCCATCATCCCTCTCCTTCTTGATTTTCTTCTCTTTTTTATCAAGCTTTGTCTTTTCCTTCTTTTTATCAGACTTCTCCTTTTCTTTTTCTTTATCCTTCTTGTCTTTTTTTTTCTTAACTTTTTCCTTTTCTTTCTCCTTCTCCTTTTCTTTCTTTTCCTTTTTGTGCTCTTTCTTCTGAAAACAAAACTTAAATGTAAACAACTGACAATTCCTAAATCAGTTTTGCATTCAATGAGAGGATCAGTGAAACCCTTCACTCATGAACCAGATAACATCATCCCCGATTATTTTAATATGGCACACAGTGAGTGCGCACACCCATTCTCTCATGTCTAGGTGACTTAGGCTCATCGTGGCAATGTTAAATGTATGACACATAAAACGTATATATACGTTTGGGGCACTAGCGGTAAAAACGTATATATACGTTTGGACCATTTACGGGTTAATAATGATACGAAAAAATACTTTAGAGCATAGATTAAGTGGCAAAAAACAGTGAAATAAGATATTGTACAAAGAAATGAAATTAATCACACATTACTACTCCCATTTTTCCTTTCCTCTGGAAACATATAATACTTCAATTAACTGTTAATTAAGATTTGATACTTTCAAATTAAAAAAAAAAAGTTTTTTTTTTTACTTTGACAGCCACCTGCCAAGGAAGGGTGACCAAAGAAAAAAAAAAAAAAAAAAAAAAAAAAAAAAAAAAAAAAAAAAAAAAAAACATTTACCATAATTCATTCAATCACTATTTTGCCAGAATTGTGCTGACATCACAATTCATCTGCAGCATCTCCATCCTTCCTTCAGAGTGCAGGCACTGCCCTTCCTACCTCCAGAACTCAAGTCTAGCTAACCAGTTTCCCCTGAATCCCCTTATAAATGTTATCCTGCTCACACTCCAACAGCATATCCAATAAAAACTGCTCACTTCCATACACTCCTATCTCATATACTTTAATATACAGTATACTACAATGTATACATGTACTATATGACAAAAATAAAGTCATGAAAACTGAATATCAAACCACCATCCAGAAAATAGGAATATGAAATGCAATTAACACACCTTTTCTTTGTCAGTTTTTTCAAATTTTTCTATTTTCATTTTAGGCATTGGAGGTGGGGGAGAATGATGAGCAGGGGTCCGAGGACGAGGAGGAGTTGCCGACAGTTGAGCAGGAGAGGGTGACCGCAGAGGAGATGGATGACTGGTTACAGGCAATGGGCTGGAATCACGAGCATGTCTTGGGGTTAAGGGACGTTCAAGATTTTCAGCTTCATCTAAGGACAACAAATGGTCATCGTCCAGCTGACGTTTTATGGGAGGTCTTGGAAGGAAAGGATGTGGGGGTAATCGGAGGTCTGGCATGGGTGGATGAGGTAGACCTGGGCGAGGTGGTGGTCCACCGAATGGAGGAATGAAAGGAAACCTAGAGAAGGGTGGAATAAATCCTGGGGCAGTAGGAAAAGCTGGAAGTGAGAAGGGGGCAGTAGAAGGACCCAAAAGACTCCCTATGGGTAAACCAAGTTCTGGAGTTTTGGGCCGCTCAGGAGTCTCAAATTCACACATTTCTCGATGACCAGGACTGAATCCACACTTGGGTGATTTGGAACGATCTTTCCTTGGTCTTTTTTCCTTAGTCTTTTCTTTGCCCTTGCGTTTTTCTGAAATTTTACGGATGGGCATATGTGGTATTTCTGGAGTTCTGGGAGTTGACGGAGTGCCTGGAGGTGACATGTCATCGTGGTATGAAGGAAAGTCTTCAGGCGATCTTACCATATCATCCATTGGGGTATCTAACCGACGAATTGGGTTATCGATTATAGTCAGCTCTTCAGGAGGTCGACGCTGCCCTAATCGAGCAGGAGTTTCGTCTATCATGAGATCTGGAGAACTATCTCGAGACTGCTGGGCATCACGCTCTCCTGGACGATCCTGGTCCTTCATGTCTTTAGTTTTGTTGATTTTCTTGAATATACTCAATTTTGATTTACCTTCAGCCTTGTCTTGTACTGGTATGTCCTGTGATTTACTAGGAGCTGGTATTGAAGTTACAGTGACAGCTGAAGAAGACGCCAAAGCCAAGATCAGTTCTCGTTCTCTTTCCTTCTCCTTCTTATTTTCTTTTTCCTTCTTGATTTCTTTCTCTTTTTTAGATTCCTTCTCTTTCTTACTATCTTTATCCTTTTTGGTCTCTTTGTTCTCCTTGGGTTCCTTTGCTTCTTTAGGCTCTTTGTTCTTTTTTGTTGGATCCTTCTCTTTTTTACTTTCTTTAGGTTTTTTCCCTGGTTCTTTTTCTTTCTTTATTTTCTTGGTCTCACCCTCCTTTCCTGGTTCTTTGGTCTTTGGGGTAGAAGGCTTCTTGGTTTCTGATTTTGGAATTTTAGGAGGTTTTGGAACTTTTATTTTGGGGGTTGAAGACTTAGGCATTGAGATTTTGGGTGTAGACATCTTTGGAGGAGATGATTTGGGAGGGGTTGCTTTAGATGTGGGAGTCTTTGGAGTTGGAGGTTTGGGGTTGGGAAACTTAGGCACGGCAAGTTTGGGCATAGGCATCTTCAGTTTGGGTGGCACTGGCATTGCTCCTGGTGTAGTAGGATGTCCTGGTGGATGGTGTGGTAGTGGTGGTCTGGCTTGTGGCACCTTTGGGATCTTTAAGCCTTTGCTGATAGATTTGTCTTTAGCTTTAATCTTCAGTGGTCGTGGAGGCTTGTTTGGCATTGGTCTTCCTGTCCCTCCCTGATTATTCTTTTGCCTTATCAATTTCTCCACATTCAATTTCTTCTTTCCAGCCACACCAGCTACAGAAGGAGAAGAGCTGCGGGGGGTTGCCATGGGAATATTTGGACATCGTGCCTCCGGTAATTTTCCTTCTCGAGCAGAGGAGATAAAACCAGAAGTAGTCATCATCACACTCACAATCTCCCTCACTGGCTGACCCTCATCCTCTAAGGAATACCTGAAAAAAACATTCAAGTTACTTCAGTAAAGCATTAATATACCACAAAATCTCTTAACTATTATTATACTGTATTTTACAGACACACTATGAACATGCAAGTTATTCAGCACAAGAAGTGGTGAAGGCTCACTCCTCGTCCACTGGTCATGAGACAGAAATACTAAGCTTACAGCAAGGCTGTCAAAAGCCTAAAAGGAATAGGGGTGTGCACTACAGACAGTCTTTAAACATTAAGCCTCGGTGGGAAACAGCTGAAGTGTTCAAAAAAATGCATACATACAGTGGTACCTTGAATTTCAGCCGAAATTTGTTCCCACAAGGAATAATGTGAATTAGTCCAATTCAGACCCCAAAAATACACTTGCAAAAGCACTTACAAAAATACACTTACATAATTGTTTGAGTTGGGAGCTGTTCAAAATTAGAGGTACCACTGTATATATAGAAAATTATTTCTCTCTTCATGAAAAGAAAAACACATGGAAAAATTCTGCAAGCCAAGCTACAGGAGAAATGATGAATTACAAATATACGTGACATAAACTGCTATAATATTTGTGAGGATGTATAGTGGTATCCCGAGTTTCAGCAATAATTCATTCCAGAAGGCTGTTCGAGTGCCGATACTGAACGAATTTGTTCCCATAAGAAATGATGTAAATTAGATTAGTCCGTTTCAGACCCCCAAAAATACGCTTACAAAAGCACTTACAATACAACACTTACATAATTGTTCAAGTTGGGAGCTGTATGAAACTTGGGGTATCACTGTACTTAACTCATTAAAGTCATACAGTACCTGGGGAATGGAGGAGAGGATAGCTCCAATTCCTTGAATCAAGATACTGTTACTGGTTTAAGTCAGAGGACCACAAATATTACAATAAATAAACTGGTTATTCAGAACATGAATAACAAATACAGACCTATTTTCTTCCTAAACTAGGACTTTAAAAGTGTATCAATATTGTGCAAATATTAATACAGTGGACCCTCGACTAACGCTATTAATCCGTTCCTGAGAGCTCATCGTTAGTCAAAATAATCGTTAGTCAAGTTAATTTTCCCCATAAGAAATAATGGAAATCAAATTAATCCGTGCAAGACACCCAAAAGTATTGAAAAAAAAAATTTTAACACATGAAATATTAATTTTAATACACACAAACTGAAGAAGACATGCACAGTTACATGACACTTACCTTTATTGAAGATCTGGTGATGATTGATGGGATGGGAAGAGGGGAGTGTGTTGATGGTCTTCGTGTTTAGAAGGGGAATCCCCTTCCATTAGGACTTGAGGTGGCTAGTCCTTTTTTGGGGTTACTTCCCTTCTTTTAATGCCACTAGGACCAGCTTGAGAGTCACTGGACCTCTGTCGCACAACATATCTGCCCAATAGAAGCCTGTACCTCCCGTTCCTTTATGACATTCCTAACGTGTTTCACAACATTGTCAGTGTCACCATTAAACACTTGTTCAGGTTTCAGTCCTTCACTGTCTATGTACTCCTTGAATTCCTGCACATATTTTTCAGCTGCTTTTTGGTCCAAACTGGCAGCCTCACCATGCCTTATCACACTATGTATGCCACTACAATTCTTAAATCTCTCAAACCAACCTTTGCTGGCCTTAAATTCACTCATAACACCACTAGTTGCTGGCATTTTTCTAATTAAATCGTCATGCAACTTCCTAGCCTTTTCACATATGATCGCTTGAGAGATGCTATCTCCTGCTATCTGTTTTTCGTTTATCCATACCAATAACAGTCTCTCAACATCTTCTATCACTTGCGATCTCAGTTTCGAAAACATAGTTGCACCTTTGGCAAGAACAGCTTCCTTGATTGCCGTTTTCTTGGCCACAATAGTAGCGATGGTTGATTGGGGTTTTGTGTACAGCCTGGCCAGCTCAGAGACATGCACTCCACTTTCATACTTAGCAATGATCTCTTTCTTCATATCCATAGTAATTCTCACCCTTTTTGCTGTAGGGTTGGCACTAGAAGCTTTCTTGGGGCCCATGGTGACTTATTTTGCAGGTGCAATCACTAAAAAGGCTGTGATAATATGAAATGTTCCGATTGTATGCTTGGAAGCGACCGCAGTGGCTGGCTGGCTTGTAAACACTGGCCAGAAGTGGACGCGTCTCAGACAGAAGGAATAGTGTTGGTAGAGTTTTTTAGCGCTAATCGAGGCAAAATTTTTGCGATAAAATGTATCGCTAGTCAGATTTATCGTTAATCGATGCCATCGCTGGTCGAGGGTCCACTGTATTAATGAAAAGGGATACACAGTGTGCAAATGATAAACTTCAAATAATATATACAAAAGTGATACCAATGTATGTACATAGTAAATGAACAATAGTAAAGGAGATACAGTGGACCCCCGGTTAACGATTTTTTTTTCACTCCAGAAGTATGTTCAGGTGCCAGTACTGACCGAATTTGTTCCCATAAGAAATATTGTGAAGTAGATTAGTCCATTTCAGACCCCCAAACATACACGTACAAACGCACTTACATAAATACACTTACATAATTGGTCACATTCGGAGGTAATCGTTATGCGGGGGTCCACTGTACAGTGATTTTAGTACTGTATGAGGAGTGACTTTGATGTTATTATAGCAAGAGCAAACCAATAAATAATGCAAGTAAACCTATGCACAGTGGCATGTACATTCACTACTTTTCCTATCATGTTTCCCCTGTCAAGAAAAGTGTTCTTATCTCCGTGCCCTCCGCATCTGTGATCCTCAGTTCCTTCCAGCAGAAATTTCCACTCTTCATAATTCGTTCTCCCGTCTTGGCTACCCTTCCCATTTCATAGACTCTGCCCTCTCACGTGCTAAATGCAATTTCTTCTCTCCCAAACTCTCTACTCATGGGAACTCTTCTATCCTCTGCCTTCCCTACATTTCCGGTCTTTCTAATCTCAACAATTCTCTCCGTCCCTTAGACATCAAGCTTACCTTCCGCCAGCCTAACACTCTTCACACTAATCTCGTTCATACCTCTCCTCCCTCTACAGATGTTCCTGGTGTCTACTCTATTTCTTGCTCCTCCTGTCCTCTTCAATACTTCGGAGAAACTGGTCGATCTCTTTCTGACAGACTTAGGGAGCACAAAAATAGTGTTAGGCTTGCCAACACAAACAATGCTCTTTTCTGTCATGTCAGAGATCATAGCCATCCTATTGACTGGTCTTCTGCTAAAACTGTCTTCCCTACTTCCAACTCGAACAGTCGCCGTCTAGTTGAATCCTCTCTAATACACAACTTTCCTTGTATGAACCTTAGCCCTGGCTTCGTCTCTGTAGATGCCTTCCTCTCCCACTACATTGTAAAATGCTCCAAACTTCAGAACACCCGTGACTTAACCTGAATCCTCATTTTTTCTTTTTCTTCTTCTTTTACTTTTTCTTCTTCCTCTTCCCCTTTCCTCTCTCCTTTTCTCCTCTGGGTTGTCTTTCTCTCTCCTGTCTCGTGTTTCTGTTCCTTCTTCATTTATTTTATTTCACCACTTCCCCTTTCACGCACCTCTGTGCGCTTGCTCTCCCTCTGTGGATATCTAGCTCTCTTGCAGTGCTCCCCTTCCTTTGTATTTGACTGGCTCGTCTTCCTTATTTCCCACTTCTACCCCTACCACTACTACTACCTCTTCTTCTTCTACTACAACTACTGATGAAATTAAGACACATGTGCGGCGTCTGGTTATCTTTGTTGTGGACGTTTCGCCATCCAGTGGCTGGCTGGATGGCGAAACGTCTACGATGGGGATGCCCGGGTGTTGTGCATGTGTCTTAATTTCATCCTGTCGGTATTATATACAATTTTTGTACTACTACTACTACTACTACCTCCACCTCTTCCTGCCTATATATAGCCGTCCTGCTCCACCTCTGTTAGTGTGACTTTGTCAATGGTCCAAGTCGGACCGAAACGTCGTCGTAAGCTTCTCTCTTTTATGTGCGGGTTATTTGTGTATCGTTCCAGTCACGGTATTGTGCCTTTTTGTTATTTATTAATGCAAGTAAATATATTAACATTAGTTACATGGTACATAAAAAGCATTAACATTTATAAGGGTGTGAGGCATAAGCCAAAAATACTGCATTGAGCAGGTGGCTGGAGGCAGAGATGTCATGTTTGAAAGCAATGTATGACGTCATTATTATGAAAAGAATTCAGAGAGTAGAAATTAGAACAGAAATAATTGTGGTGGTCTGAGCATTTAGAGGATGGAGCAGGATTGTATAAATCTGAGGTGAAAAAAAAAAAAGTGTAGAGGCCATCCCAAGAAGGGTTTGAGGGATGATGTGAAGGAAGCTTTGAATGGTAAGGGCTTGAGCATCTAGCAGGCATGCACAAGCATATTATATCAGGGTGGATGGAGACAACTGGTTTTAGAGATTTCATGTAATGTGGAGTGTGGGAAGTACAGTGTCTGCCCTCTGAAAAAGGGGTGGGGATGTTGCAGTTGGGAGGGTTACTTAAACTGTGACATCTGCACACAACTATTGAATGAATTATGATAAATGTTTCCTTTTTTGAGGTCACCCTAGCTAGGTGAAAGACAACTGATAAGACATGCAATATAAAAAGAATAAAACTTGGGGAAAAAAGATGCTCTTACTTTGCCTTCTTTGCTGGAGATGCATCACTATCTGAGGATCGCTTGACAGCTGGCTGAGGGGAGGGCGTAGGAGAGGAGTTCTCACCCATGGCTTCATTAAGGTTAGAATTCACCTTCACATCCAGTTCTTCTTCTGCAGTCATAAAAGAAAAAAAAATGTGGTGATGCATACTTCTAGACATAAATATAATTATTTAGCAAATCTCAATGGAATACTTTAGGCAGTGCTTCTGTGTCTAAGATACTGCAAGTTCTTGAAATAATTAGGGCATCAAATGTAGAAAAATTCTGCCTGCTTTAAGCAGATAGTCTTTAATCTAATGAAAATACTAGTGTGAGACAAATATACTAGGGAGATGCAGTAGCCAATATACAAGCAGGCAAAAAGTTTCCTAAAACATTATAAACAAAATATATTAAGGCTTACACAAATATTTTGTGCAGTACTCTTTACAATAACAGCTTCTGTGAGCCTATGATTATTCCAATCTATTTTACCTATTTGCAAAGAAAGTGATAACAAATAGCTAATCTAACAATATTTACTAAAGCTTTTCTAGTTTCAAAAAGTCGGCGAGATATCAAACTGAATAATAAAACATGCTTAAAAATCTAGAGGCCAAGGTAGCAATAAATTATTTCATGAATTTACAATATACATATTAATCTTCTACTAACTTAATATTCATTAATATTACTGTACTTAAAAATGTATAAACTGTATGAAGAATATTCAGAAAATGACAGAAATGAAACCTAATAAATGCATATATAAAACACCTTATTTTATATGTTCACTAAAGCTACGTCACCTTTCTGTGTAAGGTGTTACCCTAACTACTAAAACGAGCAAACCTGTCAGGTGAAGAAGAGGAATCTGTTACTAGAATTTTGCCATACTATCAAAACATTTAAAGACAAGTGGTTCACCCTCTTTCTCTGGATACATGGGTGGCAAGTGCTCGTGGATGTGGATTGGCCGAGACAGTAACTCCCTAGAGCCTGGCTTGAGGAAATTGAGGTTAGATGTCCGTGGCACTGGCAGAGATGGGAGTAAATGGGGGAATGCGGGGCAGTCTACGTTGTTGATGTATTCTTCAAGTTCAGGCACAGATATCCCCATGTCGTGGAATGCCAAGCCCAGGTCATCAAGATTGGGCTCTGTACGACCAACTGCAAATTGCATAAATTATACATTACACTGTATATCTGTAAGCATAAGGAGCTTTCAAAAAATTACCTCAGACATAGCATGACATGATAATTTAGAAGACCAATGCAGCCCTATTTGTCAGTGAGAAACATAATAAAACAAAGAGTATCCACAGAAAAATAACTCGCACATAAGAGAGAAGAGCTTACGACGACATTTCAGGCCGACTTAGACCATTTACAAAGTCACACTAACAAAAAGGAGAGGAGGGAGTATATATAGGCCAGCAGCAGACAGGGACGGGACAAGAGAAGTACTGTAGCAGGAAAGGAAGGAGAGAGGTAGTGGTAGAGGTAGAAGTAGTAGTAGTGGAGTCAGTCGAAGACTAAGAAAGAGGAGCACTGCAAGGGAGCTAGGGGCCCAGAAGGGGGGAAAAAGTAATAATGGACCAAATACTCAAGGCAGAAGAAAAAAAAAAAAAAGGAGAAAGAGGAAGGAGGAAAGGGGAAGAGGGAGAAGGGAAAATAGAATCAGGTTAGGTCATGGGTGTTCTGAAGTTTGGAGCATTTTACAAGTGTTGGAATGTTTTAACTTGTTCCACATACAATATGTGGAAGAAGGGAAGATGTTCAATGACTACCTGAGAATCTTTCTCCTTTGCATAAAGAGAAAGAAGACCAATTTAGGACTAAAGCCATAGAGTACATATGTATCTTAATGAAGCTGCAAAAAAAGATGAAAGTTTGCTTTAGTGTCAAACACTGCTGCACAAGAAAGAGACAATATTATAACATAAACCCAATGAATTTACATACTGTAAATTCATACTACTGTACTAACAGCTGCCATGTCTTGTAGCTTTTGGTTTTGTTTCCATAATCATTATTTGTTAAAATACAAAGATGGCATGAACATACTGTACATTTCAATAAGATCCCAACAATATGGGTCGCAATGGACAAAGATCATAGTGAATGACTTTTGTTGGGTTATCCTAAGTTAACTCATTCAGTGGCCATCATGTAGAACTACTTCACTGAGGACAAGGTCCTTCACGTAGTTCTACATCATGAGCTCAGCTCACTCAGATAAGCTGTGAGCAATAAATTTTGGCCTAGATATGAGAGAAATTGTTTGTGCAGTGAGTGTACACAGTACAAAAAAAAATCCTGCCCTACACAGTGCATGATGGAAAAACAAAACTCTGACAGAAGGATAGTTTACAATAAAAACTTCGAGGTGTTTTCTTGGATGGTTTTCAAGGTTTCATTAGCCATTTCTTGGTATCATTTGATAGAATGAAAGCTACACTACTGAAATAGGTTGATTTTGATTGCTTTCAGGAGCAGAAATAGTTTAAAACTGAGCTCAAAGTAGCAGAAATAGTTGATTTTTGCCTATTTTCCTTAAGACAGGTAAGGCTTCCCTACAGCCCCAGTCTATTTTATGTGCTTTTAATAGGGCTGATTCAAATATTGGCACACCACAAACTATAAACAATCATTTCTGGATATATTTTATTATCTGAGAAATAGAGTAAATCTTCTACTTTTGTGTGTGATTAAGAACTCAAAATGGAAGGCAAGAGTAAGATAGGAGAGGCCTGGAAACATGACTCATGAACAGAAGAAATTCTATTTTAGTCCCAGGAATGCCTACATTATTTATTTTGGACTATTTTTAAATTGGTATTTTTTTAATTTTGTGAAAAATGGGCAAATTACCAACTTCTGTGCACTTTATAGTCACTGCAATAGTTGAATGGGCAGTTTCTTGTTCAATCCATAGATCGGAAGGCATCTTAGATAAATATTTGCTTGAATATAGCAATGGAATATTCAAAATAAGACTCAAAATTAGTAAAATTGCCGATGCATAAACTGCGCGAAGACTGCTTAACTCTGCAGCTGCATAATTCTATAAAAAAAATTCCATCAAATTTTGTACTTTTGGTGTTACTAACTTCAGAAAAAAATGCTCTAGCATTTCAAAAAAGTGGACACCAGAAGCAATATTAATTTCTGAAGTCTGGACAGCAAGTGTGTTAATGCAGAGGTCTTATACAGTGGTACCTCGAGCTTGGAACAGCTCCCAACTCGAACAATTATGTAAGTGTATTTTTGTAAGTGCTTTTGTAAGTGTATTTTTGGGGGACTGAAACGGACTAATCTAATTTACACTATTCCTTATGGGAACAAATTCGTTCGGTATCAGCACTCGAACAGCCTTCTGGAACAAATTAAGTTCGTAACTCGAGGTACCACTGTATAATATAGAATATTACATAAAAAATTAAATGAATCCAAGAATACATGAAAACTTTATTTAGGCCTCATATATAATTTAAAATCTTTACAATGGTTTTATATTAATAGTGAATTGTGTAGAAATTAACATAATAAACCAAAATTTGTCAAATTTATACATACATGTATTACAATCAAAACTAAGCACTAAACCCACAAGGGTAAAAATTTATATATAGGAATGTCAGTCCCATTATTATAACCATGGGGAAGTGCTAAACCCATAGGATTATACAGTGCATGTGGGGGAGGGGGCAGAAGGTATTCAGGCTCAATTCAGGGAACTGGAGCAAAGATCCATTCCCTTGATCAAGAGCCCCTCACTAGTGTCAAGGAACCTCTCTTGAGGGGTAAGTCAGTCCCAGTCCAGGAAATGTTGCCAGGGGAAGAGAAGTGTGAGGGACTAGAGGAGATGTGCGAGATGAGAGGAGTGGGTGGAGGCTAGAGGAGAGATGAGAGGTGTGATGGCTAGAGAGGTGGGAGGTGAGGTGTGGGAAGACTAGAAGATGGGAGGCTGGGAAAGCTAGAGGAGAGATGAAAAGTGTGGTGGGAAGAGGAGAGATGAAAGGTGTGGGGAGGGCCAGAGGTGATGAGAGGTGTGGGGAGGGCCAGAGGTGATGAGAGGTGTGGGGAGGGTCTAGAGGAGAGATGATAAGTGTGGGGAAGGCTAAAAGAGAGATGGAAGGTGTAGGGAGAGATAAAAGAGATAAGAGGTGTGGGGGAAGGGTCCAAAGGAGAGATGATAAGTGTTGGGAGGGCTAAAGGAGAGATACGAGGTGTGGGGAGGGTCCAGAGGAAAGAGAAGTATGGGGAGGGAGGGTCCAGAGGAGAGATGAGAGGTGTGGGGAGGGTCCAGAGGAGAGATGAGAGGTGTGGGGAGGGTACAGAGGAGAGATGAGAAGTGTGGGGAGGGTCCAGAGGAGAGATGAGAGGTGTGGGGAGGGTACAGAGGAGAGATGAGAGGTGTGGGGAGGGTACAGAGGGGAGATGAGAGGTGTGGGGAGGGTACAGAGGAGAGATGAGAGGTGTGGGGAGGTCCAGAGGAGAAATGAGAGGTGTGGGGAGGGTACAGAGGAGAGATGAGAGGTGTGGGGAGGGTCCAAGGAGAGATGAGATGTGGGAGGGTACAGAGAGAGATGAGAGTGTGGGGAGGTCAGAGGAAGATGAGAGGTGGGAGGTCCAGAGGAAGATGAGAGGTGTGGGGAGGGTCCAGAGGAGAGATGAGAAGTGTGGGGAGGGTACAGAGGAGAGATGAGAGGTGTGGGGAGGGTACAGAGGAGAGATGAGAGGTGTGGGGAGGGTCCAGAGGAGAGATGAGAGGTGTGGGGAGGGTCCAGAGGAGAGATGAGAAGTGTGGGGAGGGTACAGAGGAGAGATGAGAGGTGTGGGGAGGGTACAGAGGAGAGATGAGAGGTGTAGGGAGGGTCCAGAGGAGAGATGAGAGGTGTGGGGAGGGTCCAGAGGAGAGATGAGAAGTGTGGGGAGGGTACAGAGGAGAGATGAGAGGTGTGGGGAGGGTACAGAGGAGAGATGAGAGGTGTAGGGAGGGTCCAGAGGAGAGATGAGAGGTGTGGGGAGGGTCCAGAGGAGAGATGAGAAGTGTGGGAGGGTACAGAGGAGAGATGAGAGGTGTGGGGAGGGTACAGAGGAGAGATGAGAGGTGTGGGGAGGGTACAGAGGAGAGATGTGGTATGGGGGGGACCAGAGGTGAGGTGTGGGGGGGGAAAGTCAAGAGATGTGTGAGGGGAGAGCAGAGGTGAGAGGTGTGGGGTAGACCAGGTGACTCACAGTGCTCAGTGTGACGGTGTGTCAGGCGACACACCTCCGTCATATAACGATGCAGAAGGTCACAAAGAACATCGAGGGGCGTCGAGTACACTCCCTGGAAACCTATAGTCTGGCAGATCTGCCCAACGGATATCTTCAGGATCTCATTTCTAAACTGGCTGGCCATGGTTGGCTCTGCGGTGTATTTGCATCACTCGCACTCTATAAATTTGTGTTGAACGTGCGTGGAGGCGGTATTATCAGCCTGGCCGCTGCTGTAGCCTCCAACAAGCTGTCTCCTCTGCCATTTTACATTGATCCCACTGATGGTAAATATACGTCTCTTTAACTAATAAAAATCATATAGCTTATCCAGTCAGTTCAATGTATTACTATATCATGTGATGTAGCTGCGGTTTTTATTATTATATATGAGTAAAGTGATGAATGTAAATAGGGAATAAAGATGTTCATAAGGAAAACTTAATAATTATATATCGTAAAGGAACAGTCACGTGTGGCGAAGCTTCCCCAGCTAGATGCCAACAAGGAAAAGCCTCAATTAAATACGTTATTTACACAAGTAATGTCTAATATACGATTAAATTTATAATACATAATATTGCTACAAATTATTTTGCATTTCTTTAGTGTGGGTTGCATGTTATTATATTCAATTTTTCAGAAAAATATAGCAGTATTGTTCTTCTTTTACAAGCAGATTAACTTTTTTTTAGCTGGGATTAATTTTTAGTAATGTATTTTCAACATGAAGTATATTTCAACATGAGTAAAATAGTTATATTATGAGGAAATATATTCGAAGTTGTTAGATATTATTTAACCAATCAACTCTCAGGAAAGTCGTCACGTGACCCTGATTGGCGCTAAGCATAGAGAATCAGAAACAGTGGAGAAAAAACAGAGAGCATTTCAAAGTCACAATTTTGTAATTAGAAAGAACCTAAATTTATTACACAAGACGTTTGTTTTCGCGTTATTTTACCAGAAATCAAGAGAGATGTTTAAAAATCGGGGAATGTTAGTATAGAAGTTGCTTTCCAGGTGTGATTCTCGATGGGAGGGAGGTGGTGGAGGTGCTGGGCCGTCAATGGGTGCCCGACGTCGGCATCTAATGTACACGGGAGGCAAGGTGGTCTCTCCCGTCTTCTTCCCTAGAATTACGCTAACCTA